AACGTCGCACGAAATACGCATCTCGCGTTGGATTTCCGCTAAGCCACGCGCCGAGGCAGGTCAACCTCCCAGGCATCATCTTTCGAAAAACAGACCATAGATCAGCTATCTAAAAAAAGGAATCAATTAGAAACGAGTAATGTCAATTTGCTATTAAAACAATGTTTGGAATCCACGTCAAAACGATGACATAAATTTGTTATTGTTTCATTGACATCTATAATATGGTTAACTTGTTAAATTTCGATTCAGTTTATGACATTTGAAAGAGTTGAGAAATAAGTACTGCACTAGGTTTCAGTTCCTATAATTTTCGGTTTAGTGCTATCTATCTAATAAATATGTGACAGGCAAACTTTTTTCTTGGATGCAGCCGTGATAAAAATTCCGATGAGTTCTGGTAGCCTTACTCCTTGTCTACGACACATTTGTACCAATATGTTGCCCAGTCTCCATTATTGTTCATAATTGACTGGAACTTTTGGAACATATTCTTTGAATAGAGATCACCACAATGATCGAATTTAGGGCATTAATTGTTTTAAAGTAGTTAGTTCCATTGTTTTTTTCTCGAAGCTTTAACTTCAATAATCCCGACACATTTTCAATGCGGTTCACGTTAAGTAATTGTGAAGACCATCCTAATACCTGGATACCATGTCCCTTTTTCCTCTCCGTACAACGACGGCTCTGATGTTTAGGATCAATATCCTTCTGCAATATCGATTTTTTCTTCCACATCATTTCTCAACTAACCATAAGAAACACTTTGATAAATATTTATCATTTTGGTTCAGGTTATCCGTAAATAGCAATAAAATCCCGATCCCGTTCAAAACGTGCACCTTTTCAGGGTGTTTCCCAGTCCGTTGAACTTGGTGGTTTAGTAAAATAGACCAAATGCGATTAATAGAAATTCCACACCCAAAAAGAAGGTTTTTCGGATAAAATTACATTCACCCGATTTCAGGCGATATTTTCGTGTTCCCATATGTTCCTTTTCAAGAATACTCCTTCGAAACTTGTCACGTTTATAGCAATCATACTTGTAAACATCGTTACCTTACGAAGCTCGAAGAATTCCTAAAAATTTACCTGGAATGAGTTACAGAGGAAGAGTCAAGCTACCTGAATTCAGTGGAATTTTCTGATACAGCTATATTCAAGTAAAAATTTTGCCAGTCACGTATTTATTAGGCAGACTGTAAAAGTTATATCGGTGACGGTTTAGCAGTCATCAATACGTTAAAAAAATGTACATCTGAATGGTTCAGCACTAACAATACGAATCTAATAATACATGTACGTATACAAATTTGTATTCATATTTAATTAAACTTTGTTATATTTCGAAAAGTTCAGACAACGTTACGAAATAAGGTAATTCGTGTTTTTTTAACTGTACATCATTTTTCACCTAATTAATTGTAAGTACTACCTTTTCAATATACTGGACTTGTATTAAATGTTACGAATTAGTATTACTGTTTTTATCAGTTAGTATTAACAGTCAGTGTTTATATCTTGACGAAGAAATAAGTAGTATCTAGGTACATTCATCGATTGAATTATAATATTTCTGTGATTATCAAGTAGATTCCAAGTGCTTTTTTGCAAAATTTATATGTCATTATAAACCTATCACAGTGTGTACATCTTATAGGTTTAATCTCGTTGATCGATTATCTCGTCTTATAGTATTCATTAATCCACAATTACGTATGGCTCCATCTTCGATACGCTCCGGTATTTTTGCTATGCGACGTGTTTAACGCGAAAACACTATGAACTAGAATATGTCGATAAATGTACATAAGTTACAATATTTAATTTTCTTCTTGTATTATAAGGTTATTTTCAAATAAATTTTACACCTTGTATTGATTATTAATTTACAAAATAAGCACGCTACATAATAACTAATTTACTATCAGCTTTTTTTGTTGGAATCACTTTTAAAAGTCGATCACATTTGTGTGATAAAAGTTTGTGTCAAACAAGGTCACGTTTGTTATGTAAGAGGGCAATGTTCTTATACAAAACCAAAGGAAAGTTAATTACTACATGGATATTGATATAACAGCAAGGATTCTATAAGGAGAAATAAGTCGAAAAATGCAAAACGTTTTCGTTTGAGCTATCGCTTTCGACAAAATCGAATTTGAAAATTAATCTGAAACGCGTGTAATCGTCATGATAGTGAGTAGAGACAGAACGCAAGGAAAAAATGCACCAGAGATTTTTATATCCAGCCGATTTTCATATTCGATTATCTCGAAAACGTAGCCTTAACTGAAAAACTGATATTCCACGATGTACCACGATTGTTTGGATACCTTGTATACAGTGTACTTTGTTTAGTAGGAATTTTAGTATTTAGTATTATGACTAAAAAAAAATATTATTATTAAATATTTGTTGTGTTTCTTGTACAAATGGTCTTCATGTTAAAAGTTGTAGTGGAATTGTTTTATGCATAAAATATGCTTACGTCTGGTAAGTTCCTACTGCTTTGTTAAAATAATTGGAAATTAAGTGCTCGCTAAAAGGGAAAATATGTAAACATGTCTCTGAGCTATTCACACATTCGCAACGGGCGATGGCCGAACAAAACGTTTAGCTGAATACTGCATATAATTTCCAAAAGTCTGTAGCTGAGTACACCACGGTCCTGCTATTTGTAGGTATTACTTTTGAAATGACATAGGACTACGTCTTCCGTCGTGAAAGTGTTGACAGAAATGACTTCTAACATAGATATGAATTGCAAAAATACGTGATTGTGAACGTAATAATAATATTTGTTATTCACATTTAATGAAGTTGGTTTTGTCTTACAATTACTTACGTACGAAGATGGAAATTGAACAGATCTTGTGTGTCAATTTTATTAATAAATCTGTCTGGTCAAAAGGAAAGTAATAGGAATAATACTTACTCTGATTCTATTTTTGTTCTGGTCATAAAACTTATCTCTTGTATAAATGTATGTATAAGAGCAACTGTGTACCTGATAAGGCATACATGTGACAACGCAATTTAGAAGAAACATGAATCATCATTAAGCTTTTTGTTTATTTTATCGTGATCATTCGTGGTCATTTGTTTATTGTTAAAAGTGTCATATCATCAGAAGATGCAACTGATACTTTTTGTTTGCCTGTCATTATTCAGCATATACAAGGTCGGTCACCTAACACTTTCACCTAAAATAACTCCGTTGTTTTCAATGATATGAGAAAATATCTAAGGAAGAAAATGTTTGTTCTTGTAGGACAGTTATTGTGATCGAGAAGATTGGTTTCTCAAGATCATATTTTCTAAAATTTTAAGGTCATCGTCGTTTTTTTTTTAGGATGACATACTTTGATTAGTGTAGCGTTATAGACAATGCAAAGACAAATTCAACCTATATGATATAATGACCTTCACATGATCTCCGGAAGAGTTATTCTTCAAACAGCATAATTTAACGTACAAAGACGATGTTCATGCTTACCGTACTCTAAATATTGAAACGTTATGGATAGTCACCGTTTGTTTACAAACTGTCTTCCGAAGTTATAACTTTATTCCATGTAAAAGTTAAACTGGAAAATCATAAATGGTACAGAATTTGTTTTTCGCTATGTAAATTGTTGAGGAATTAATGGATTATTTATAACGTGATTTATGTTTCAAACGACACATTATGATAATTTTACATTCACTTTACGAATACCTTTAATATACTGATTTCTTTGAATTTCTTTATAGAATACCCAGATAGCACCGTACATCTAATGGACGTCCGTTTCATGTCCAGTTTATATCCAAATGTCCTGTGTCCATTTTGGACATCTCTAGGATTTTCGTATGACTAGATGCTCTAGAAACGTACTGAACGCTTAAATTTCGGATGTTTAGAATCGTCCGTCCCGAAGGTCCTACGGATGTTCACAAGACTTAATTTGGACATGTTCTAGGAATCCGTTTCGTATGTCTTACGAATGTTCGTAGGATTTAACCTTCGGATGGTTTCGTTTAGTAATTTGGGTCAATTTTATTCCGTGTAAAGTGATGGAACCCCACGAGCAAGCTGTCATTCTTTAAAGAATTAATAGAGAAGTGTAACGACACTAGTGGTTTTGTGCGGAAACCTCAGGAAATTTGAAAAAATAATTTTTTTCTTCAACTGTCTCTAACCAGCACAGAATCAGTACTTTGCTTTGAGTAAGTAATTTTGTTAAATTGTCTCTAAACAACACACAATCAGTGTTTTGTGTTGAAAATAAAAATAAACTCAATGTACACACAAATCATAACCCCAAGATCTATATTGTTATTATAATTCCTTATAGGAAATTTAACCTTTTATTTATTAACAGGAACTAACTCGATCTAAGTTCTTAAGTGTGGAAATTGCATGGAAATTAATCTTTTATTTATTAAACACAAACCAACCTAACCTACCTTCTATGACCTTGTACAGAATGGAATCTAATCGTAATTTTAAACATTTAGGAAACGTTTCTTATACGGCTTTTAAGACATTACCATAACGTTTTTGTAAACTCTTTATACGTTCCCAAAATGTAGAGAGAATGTTACTTTTACACATTCGGAAAACGTTCTGAGAATGTTGACACAGGGCGTCCTCAGGGCGTTTCACTTTGTAAATAGGATTTTCCTAGGAGATTCAAAGATCTTAATGAGGACGTAGGGGGGACATGTGGTCCTTTCGGGACATCCTCGGAATGTACCGAACGTCCGGAACGTACGTTCCCCGGACGTACATATGACGTTTTTGTGATATTTGGGTATTAATCTCTAAAATAATATATTATATACTGGGATATATTTTTTGTGTAACACTGACTAGTTTGGCATTGATTATATATTTTTTTTTCTATTACAAGTACATTCATCAATTTCGTGAGAAAATATTGTTGAACTAAAATAAGGAATTATTCTAATAGGGATACTTTGTATTACAGTAAAAGAATAATAATAATAGAAAATTATTCTATTTTCGTCAGTTTTAATATTATATTTTTAGGTGAGAACAGGAATGTCCGAATGTCAGGCTCGTACGCAGTTGTTTTTTCACAGACATCGACTCTGTACTTACGAAGAATAGAGATAAGTCCCACTCTGCTTTGGTAAAATGCGAAACGGGTTCCTGAAAATACGCCATGAAGATAGTAGTTGTTATGTGGTAATTCGTTTATAATTTAACTATCTCATACGATCTATGGAATTTGCATTTTTAAAATTAACGGTGAAGAAATTGTATCAATTTACGCATATCATTTCTCTATTTTCATTGTAATACTGCTTCGATAAATAATTAGTCACGGACTCAAAAAATTAAAAAAAAAAAGGGTTAACATAGTTTAGTATGTAGTATAAATATGTTTTTCAAATATTGAAAAGATATTTTTTTAGCCACACTTTCTAATATGAAATAAATATTAAATCCAAATATTGTCTACATATACAGGAAATATAAAATAAATACTTAAAAAATATAAACTAAATATTCATAGAATATTAATAAAATATTTAAAAAATATGAGTTGAATATTTAGACAATAGTAAATAAATACTGAAAGTGTGAAAAGAATGTTTAAAAAAAATTAAAATAATTTTCATACGCCGTTTCACGCATCCGAAATTAGTCGTCTCGTTTTTTTTTTTAACGGGTGTAAAACCTTTAAAAGGTGTACTGTCTCCGCTGATCCACATAATCGCCACACTACCGCGACCAGCCCCGATCGACTTCACCGACCGTGAAGATTCTTACCATAAAGAAGTGTTCCGCACGTGCGCAAACTCGGACCACATTTATGTGTTAAATTATTATATCTCACTTTCCTCCAAATTTCAGATCAAATCAGCAATAATCAATATTGAAAAGAGAGTGGAAACAAACATTTCTTGTATATTCAGAAGAAATATTCTCTTTCTAATAGTAAATGAATATCTACTCTATATTTGGAGAAACATATTTTTTCATAAAAAATATAAATATTTCTTGTATATTCGGAAAAAAATATTTTGTTTCCAATATTAAATGAATATTTCTTCTATATTTGGAAAAACATTTTTTCTTTTTAATATTAAATAAATATTTATTTTATATTTAAAAAAAATATGTTGTTTCCAATATTAAATAAACATTTTTTTTTTTCGTAATATGAAATAAACATTGTATGTATATTTAAATATTAAAAAGAGATTGAATTTCTTTCTAATAGTGGATGAATATGTATTCAATATTTTGTGCTACTAGGGACGTCTTTTACATTATTTTCGTTTTTACTGGCAGCAAATACCTATGTATGTAATTCCCAAAATTGTATTGCAACCAAATTTTAGAATTTACAGACCTTAGTAAACCATTGATATTATTCATTAAATAGTTCATTCTATTTAGACATACCAATACAATTTCTTGGTCCATCACCGAACGGTATGTAACTCATAGGATGTCTGGCTGAAATAGCTTCTTCGGTGAACCTTTCAGTATCAAATACTTCAGGTTTCGGATAAATATGAGAATTGTAATGAATTCCTCGCACTGGTATCCATATAAGCGTACCCTTTGGGACAGTAATATTTGTTCCTTTAAAAGTATAATCCGTACTGCCTTTTCTCATCAAAATTGGCAGTACTGGGTATTTCCTCAGAGTTTCTGTATAAACATACATGTTTCATTAACCAAATGTGGCCAGGAAAGTCTGTTCCGTGAATGAAAAACCAAACAGCTTTCCCATTTAACATTTTTTTCCATCTATATTAGTTTTCGAGATATCGTAAGATTGGGTAATTTTGACTCACATCAATCAGAGTAACTTTGTCCCAAAGTCAGAAAATTATCATTTTTGATTTTACAGATCTACAAACTGTTAAATTAAGTTTATTAGTACGTGAAAATACGTGTAAAATAACGGAAAAATCGAAAATGATCATCTTCTGGGTTTGAAACAATGTTACCCCAACTTACAGTACTTATATAAATAGACTTTCAGGCTAACTATAAGAGCGGCTTTCACCACTTGATCATAAACATCAGCAGATAAAAGGTTTATGCTATCTGCAAATTTAAAAATAATGGGACATTATTAATTTTATAATATTCCTTGTTAGTAGTAGTGGGTTGTCAAACTATTCAAACGTGCTTGAATCAGTAGTTTGAATAGTATCTCGCGTCCGTCCGCGTGGATTTCTCTTTTGAATCCGCCTGGAGTTGTAAATTCCAGGCTCGACCGTCGTGGTACGCGTCCGGTTGCGACTGTTGCCCGCCAAATTAATATTAGGCAACTGTTTCAATATTCTCTGGTGAGAAAAACGAATATAATTGCTCGACCGTTGGAGCTGACGAATCGTGAGGCGACTGTTGTCGAATGAATTGAGTCCGTTTGACTCTTGTCGATACGAGTACGTAAATAATGTTCGAGTACGAGTGTTCGAATGCGGATGTATGTTCGTGTACGACTTGTCGAATGCGAGTGAATGTTTGCGAATGAGTGTTCGAGTTTCGTGTGACGTCGCGCTTCCTCAAAGTTCGCTGAAGGCGTTACCAAAATTCGCCTCCTTATTTTATTGGTTATGCCCTGAAGGAGAAGGCAAATTTCTCGGTTTTTCCAAGCGACGTGGAGGTGAAAAACCTCCCCTTCAGGGCGAAGCAGACGTCAGGAAAATATCGCGCACGTGGTCACAGTGCTAATTGACCGCGATGAATTTTCGAGTCTCTCAACGGTAGGGTTTATGGCTTTATTATCTGCGAGTCAGCGCGCCACGGTAAGGCCCGGCGCGGATGGGTCCCAGGTTACCGAGCGCATGTGGCGCACTGCAGACCAAATGTCCGCTTCTTTTGTCTATTATTCTCTTTGTGTCAACGAAATTAAAATTGCTTGAATGAAGGAAATAAAATAATAAAAAGTAACGATACTGTCTGATTCTATAGCCGTCGTTTCGGTCTACGACGGAACATAGTACAAGTAGAGTTTTGATGATGGCGATGCGTTCAAACTGTTCAATCTTTTTGATGACGTTCCAAATTTCAAAATCTCAAGCCATTCTGATCATTTCAAATAGTTTAATCAAATGTTTCAAACTTCAAGTCGTTTAGCCTGTTCGCTGACGGACCAATACTCATTAGGTCAAATACATTAATACTTCTCTGTCTACTGTTATGCTTACTTTCCTTAATTCGGAATTTTCTGGGAAATTAAATTTCATGTAAAACTGTTTATGACATAATTCTGCACATAAAAATTACACTATCCGAGATGATACCTTCATTCTGGTCTAAATAATTTGTTCAATGATTCGCATATTGGTTCATGTACTTTCTAAATAATAATAAAGTGTAAATTTGTATGTAATTCTATACATATAGGTATGCTCATGATCAGTGATCCTACCATTTTCTTCTAGCAAGATTTTCTTGATTTTGGAATGAAATTCGCAGTTCGTTATGAAGTGGCACAAGTAAATGTGACAGCCGTCGTGAAAAATTTGTGAGTTACTAAGTGTCTAATTAGAAATTACCTCGGAACACTAAATCCAAGTACTTCATCTGTTTCACCTGTTCGTATGTTAATGTATCACCATGTTGCGCAAAGTTCTCCCTGATTTCGTTTCGTAGCTTATCCTGCATATCAGTGTTTAATGCTAGTTCGTAGAGTGAATGACTCATCGTTGACGAGGAAGTTTCGAAACCAGCTATGAAGAAGCCAAACGCCTGCGATGTAAGTAACCCTTCCGTCAGCTCTGAAAACCAATTAATTGAATTTACTTTTATCATTTCTATGTACTTCTGTTTAATATAGTACATATTAAACTTTTTTGAAATGTAGTACGTGCTTAGATGCACTTCTTAACAAACTCTCTGAATTTATAACTGTGTTGTAAAGTAAATGTTTCCGCTGCGTATATTCTATCTTCTATCAAGCACCTTGAAACCATCGACTAAGGATGGATTATATTCAATATGGATTTCTTGGAGGTCTGAATCCTAATTCCCATAGGAAAAGCGAAAACTAATAACATGGCTTCAGTTTAAAGATAGAATTTCAAGTTTACGTTATACGGAGACGTTTTTAATGGCAAAAGAATATTTGATTTTTATTTTTAAACTTTTCTACTTTCAGAATGACATAAGGCGTATTCTTTCTGATAATATCAACGAAGTCGGTTGCAAAACATGGCGGGAAAATGTGTTTAGAGTTTCCCGTTATTTTTTTTACTCCACACAGAAAATACATAGAATTTGATTAAATATGGTATTACTTACCAATATTTTCCAGGTTATGCGGGTTTCTCTGAAGTTCCAGAAGCACGTTAATGAAGTCAGGCCTAAAGATATTATTCTGTTCTCTGTATTTAAGCGTGCTCATAACCATATTAGTAAAGAAGTTCCCAACATGATGTTTCTGAAGTATGCGACCCGCTACTTTGTACACACCAGGAAAAAATTGTCTGCAGAAGATTCTCATAATCTCTTTAGTATCAGCGACGAAGAGCTCTTTACCCATCCTACGAAAATCGCTGTCCTCGTCGGAAAGTGCCTTCATGCTAATTCCAAAGGCGCAGCTACCGATTACGTCAGTGGTGAATTTTGCAGCTATTTCACGACAATCGACAGGCTCACCCTTCGATACAACTTTCTCCAAATAGTCTTCCAAGTGCTGCCCGCATTCTACCACGAGGGGAAACATTTCTTTGAGTTTGCCAGATGTGAATATTGGCGAGGATTTTATCCTCAATGGCCGCCATCTTTCCGGGTCTATATTGAATAGATGTTCGGTCAGTGGTTCCACCTACGAATTTTGCGTGTCATTAATTAATCTCCTATAGTAAAATACGTAGATAATTTCATCTGAATAACTTTTCTTTTTTGGTAAATGCATACTGAGAAAATTGTGCAATCTTATAACAAACAGGATAGCGTCTTTTTAATAGGTCTATTGGACAGTTCTATGGTTTTTTCGAGCCACGTTTCTGTTAAACGAAAGTTTTTTATGCAAAAAGAATTCATAACATACTAGATAGTTGGAGCATGGTCATACAAAACAACGGCGACTATACACCAAATTAAAGAAGACAGTAAACGTATAGTAACATAAGCTAACTAAAGGGCACAAATAGCGACAGAACTTTCCGACCGTGTTACTAATTCCATTTTAAAACTGAATTATGCTATAAGGACCTATCTAATGCACGCATCAATGTACGTACTATTATAGTGTAATTCCCAGAATGTACGCATGATACTGATATTATTTCACCTAACTGGAATGACATTCACCATCAGGCGGTGCTGCGCATACACGCCTTTACGTATTTATTCAGATTTTTATATACCTATAAACATTTAGACTTTTCTCTTTCTATATTCAAACTCATTGACATACGATTACAGCTACAAAAACAGTTCATCTACAGTTATTTATCCCTTCACAATTTGCGTTTGAAGGATGGCCTGATTTGGGGGTATCAAAGGCGTCGTACCCATTGGCGTAACTAGGTAGGGGCCAGGGGTGTCTGCCAGAAATTATTGAAATATGTAAAAAAATATTCGTCAGTTAGTAAAATCTTATGATATAAAAAATAAATAGTTGTGCCGAATACTCTCAGCATTACGTTAAAGTATTAAATAATAATGTATTAGAATTAAGCTGTTTAATTTTAATATTCTACTGTAACTAATAATCCTGTGACATCAATTGAAGGGTCGAATGCAATGAAGAAACTAGCGCTCGAGAATGTGAAAAATATTTTTGCAGAAAAAAACAGCAAAGTGAAGCTTATATAGATTTTAACTATAGGTATCTGTACATCATACACTCATGCACTTAATCAATCAAATTATATCTCTCTATTCTTAGTTTCAGTGTTAAATAAATATGTAAATAATTATTGTAAATTGTGTAACTTTATTTTATGCAACCCACGTACATGGTTTAAAATATATACATGTGCCTGATGGGGAGTGTTATGAGCGAAAGTCAGGGGACCTGGCCCCCCTCAGACAAAAATTCTGGTTACGGCAATGGTCGTACCCCATGAAGGCCCTTTTCCCTTGAGCGGCCCAAAAAAAGGTGACATTTAGGAATTTAAAGAAAGCAGTAAAGAACATATGGTAAAAAGACTTCCTGGCCTTTATTTATTATACAATCAACTAAATAAAAAAATGTTTGTTTCAATATTCGTGTAGCGCGACAAATGGTATTTGGACCGCGATATCACAATCTAGATTAGTCCGAAATCAAAATTTCAAAAAGATTATTGAATCTTACATCAATGTCCATGTGAGCGATATTGATCGGTGCCTGATTTCACGTGATTTGACCGTACCGTGACCGCTAGTGTGAATCAAATGTCAAATTCTAGATTGTGACTGATCGTGATCTGACTGTACCATTGACCGCTAGCGTGAATCGGGCATAATTCTGGCCGTCCAGACTTTAGTGGAACTGAATTGAAAGTGGAAATACGCGTGAGTGTAGTAACGAACTATAATCGTTATTGTCTACTTATAAATACCTTCGGATACGTGGATAGTCCTCGATCAACGAAAAGTGAGAAGTCCCTGATGAGGATATCTTTAATCATCTCCAAATCGTTAACAACCAGCACGGGTGAACTGCCTGAGAAAATACCAAAAACTGGCTCATGTTTATATTGGTCGTACATGTTTCTTATGAAATCCGCCATGCTTAATTTCCTGAGTGCCAGTAGTCGAATGTTGCCAAATAAGGGTACAGGTCTTGGTCCAGGTATACCACGATCTTTCCAGAAGTTGAAATTTGAAGTAAGATAGTAGTAAAGTAAGCATAGTATTGCCAACACGCCGCCTAATATAACGAGATAATTTGCCATATTGAATCAGCTATCTGAAAAAAAGGAAATAATTAAAAACAACTAATGCTAATATGTTTTGATAATAGGGTAAGCGGTCCAAATTTCTCCCCGTGCTCAAGTCCGTCCCTCACTATATAGAAGTGCAACAGCCTGGTGGGCACTGTGTAAACTTCTGCTAAATATGATTTTAATAAACCGGCAGAATAAACAAAAGCTTGCATCAATTCGAATATAAGTTATGACAATTTATTGTTCTATATGCAGTGCATTGTAGTGATTACTCATAGTTAAAATCAGATTTCAGTATTTAAGGTAAATAATTTTATCATGTTTTCTTTGCTTGTATGAAGTTTATTGCCTTTGTTATAATAAATTTCGGCTTCTTTAATTCTTATTTTAGAAGTTGTATACACATATGTATATGAAATTATATGGGAAATCAATTTTACTTTATTACACCTGGAAGAGGTTACATAACGTTTTCATGACACACGAAAAATCGTTCTATTAAATGTTTTCTATGTGTGCATTACCAACTCCATCACTGAAAGTAATATGTAATTCTTAAACCGTCCACAATTTTCCATTTTACCAATTATAAGTATTCCAGTTTTAATATACTGGAGTTTTATTGCAAGTAAAAAATTCGTATGACTGTTGTTATGAGTTGTTATTACCTGTCAATGTAAGCTTCTTGACAAAGAAATATGTGGCTTCTACGTTAATCGAGTGAATTATAATATTGCTTTGATTATCAAATAAATTAGAAAAATTTCGATGTTTATTGAGCAAATTATATAATTTCTACGTCTAATACTGCAAAGTTTGTATATCCTGTAAATTTAACTTTGTACACTGATTTATCTTGATTCATAGTATTCATTACTATTCAGTTATGGCTAATTTTATCTTTAATGCACGTATAAACCCTTATTGCCTAATGATTTTAATATCTTATAACTGTTAGCCAGAATATGTAGATACTAGTGCACAAGTTACAAATATTTCATTTTCTAATGTTATTATTTATTATTAATGCAAAAAATGAGGACTCGAAAGTTGTTACATCTATTACTCTAATGATTTAGGGTAAACTGTTGTGAATTTTTGACAAATTTATTGAAACAGATGAGGGATATTGTTTTCATTACTCAAAAGATTGAGAATATTGCATAAAAAGTTCTGCCAAGTGTTTGACTGATCTGTATACATCAGGAAAGTGTAAACGTTATGAAAAAATTAATACGCATACAAATCGAGGATTTATATATGACTAGGATAAGTAGAAACGATAAGTGGTAAATTATTAGAAAACACGATAACCAAATCCTATTCACTACCACGCGTCCTCGATGGGTATTCGAATTTAATATTCTTGAAAACGGTCATGTGGCACAAATTTCATTTCACATTTTAAACTTAATTTCGTATCGCGATTGATCGCGAAAGTTAGGGAAAAAAAGGTAAAGTGACACTTACATTATGAGTACTTCCCTTGAAACGGGTCTGCTGACGTACACTTTAACAATTCACGTATTGAATGTACATACTGTAACGCTGACCATTCATTTACAATGAATTGATAAATTCAGAAGTCAATAAGAACCACAATAAATCCATCTTATCTTTCACTGGCGTTAATGTCAACTGATATGAAAGTCGGATTTCAAGTGCGTTTCAAAAATCAGAAATCGTACTGCGAATTTATAAAAATAAATATAACGATAAACAAAAAACATGCCAAATTTTAATCTTAATACCCGATATTTACAAAAGCAAAATATTTATTAAAATCAACTGTCATTGTTGGAATAACTATTAAAAGTTGGTCACGTTTGTAATATAGATCGGAAAACTTCATACAAAATCAAAGACTAACTAATTACCACCTCGATATTTTTTGTAACAGTAAATATATGTAGATACTATTTCTCTTAAAATGTCGTAAACATTTATTATGTTTAATTTACGAATGATCTTTACTTTGATAGTTTAGTGGTGTTAATTTTATGCATAAAATATAGTTACAGTAGGGTCCGATAACCGATGTCCGCTTTAACTGGCCATATTTTTATTGACATGAAATTTGTAGATATCACATCAACATATAAAATTTAATCAAAGAAGTAGAAAATGATTACCGATTTCTTTGTAAAAAATAGTATTCAGTAAACATTTTTTATATATGTGTATATATATATATCTAATTATATAATAAACATAATGCATATACTTATATGTTAACTTTTTTCAGTAACTTACGTGTTGTTAGCGTGAGTCTACTGTATGATAGGTTACTATTCCTTTATTAATACATATAATTGAAAATCAGTTGCTCGATAAAATTAAAAATATACAAATCAGTGAACTATTAACAGGAATAAGTTCAAACATGCAATCAATGTCCAAAAATATGTATAGTAATAGTAATAATAATGATAATAAAACCCTTGGTTAACAAAATACATGGAACAATTCAGATAAGTAATTGCTAGCGTGTAACGGTACAATCATGTTACATGATTTTTGAAATGTATTAATGACTAGATTTGCTTTCTGAAACGGGTTTGGGAATGCTGGACAAAACCGATAAGAAAGTTAACGGTATTAGCAGATTTACAAATCCAAATAATACAATTTTGTAATCCAAACGTGGTACAGTGATGGTTTATATAGAATAAATCGTCATATCTGAAGGGTTCTTGATGGAGCGTCAAATTTTATTAATTCTGGTAGATCTGGATATGTAAAGTCCCTTTACTATTACATTTTATAAATATCAATTATGTCCCGGGTAGGACCACGCTGTTTTATCATGATCATCTAAACCTAATATGTATTCCTAGATCATCCTAGATGGCTCAGAAGTGGCACATAGTTATGGCAGGGTCTGCATATAGATCGTCCTAGTTTGTTACACATTAGACGTAAGAATTTACGTTCAATAATTTCTACCATCGTTATGTACGCTGGGTAACTATAGGTAAAACTAAGACAACAATCAACAATAATAAAATGGCGAGTGAGGCTTTGTTTTAGAGTTATTAACTGTTGTATATACGGGCGAAATACGGGAAAAGTACGTCTGACACAGCGGGTTAATCTACTTCAAACGCGTGTCCTTCAATTGTTTCTCGAGTTGATTTCATTTAGAAAAATAGTTTTATATGCTAAATACAAAGAATTGATTCATAATTAATTTAAGTCTTCATGCATATGATTTCATTCCTGTAATAGATCGACAGTCGCAAGTAGTATAACCCATCGTGCCAGACGTATTTCACGCGTATTTTTCCTGTATTTTCAACAATTAACCCTAGAACAGTAAAATGGTTCGCCAGTGACACCGCCAATATTTAATTCAACCCCACAGGCATAATCAACCGTGACGAGGTGCGTAATGTACTATATCTTTCGGGTAAGTATTAGTGATTGAAACGTAGTTGAGTGCACTCTCCATTCATATAAAGTTATGAAAATATTTGGATTTGTATCACATATGACACGACGTTGCGGTACAAAACGATGCAGCATTTCTGATACTTTTGTACTGTGGCACAAACGATAATGTTGCCATAAAAATAACGACTAGATCTTTTGCTTCAGCACGTTCATTCAGTGGTATGTTAATGATAATATACAATACGGGAAAATAATTTTATAGTGTCTGTGATTAAACCGTATAATAAAGCATTTGTTGATATTTAAGCTTAGACTATCAGTTGTGCTCCATTCAGTGAGTTCAATAGGATTTCTTAAATTTGTTTTGAGTCTCCTAGGGAAGTCACTTTATTAAGGAATTTTAGGTAATCTGCATGTAGTAGAAATTTTGAGTGTTCAAAGATTGCGGAGACGTCATTGATAAAAAGATTTAAAGGCAGTGTTCCTAAACATGAACCCTGAGTCACTCCGGATATATGGGATAATATGTGAATTCGTTGTGAAAATACATTATTAGCCCTCGCATGACGAACCGCGGAAGCCGATGGCCAGGTCATTCGTGACCCATACTAAACGCTATATACACGATGTACCTTCTCTATCTCTTCCACATTCCTTATCAAGAAATTTTAAAGAAAGTAATAAAAATAATACGAAACCGATATTTTCATAAAAACTGATTTTTATTCATTTGTTAGATGTATCCTCTTTTCGCAAAACATCGCGATATACTGAACGAGTGGGTTAAATTATATTTTTATATTTAATTATATCACCGTAACATGAGGGTTAAATTTAAGTCGGCATGATCTGTTGTACAGGTTGTACCAGGAGATCCATAGATGTACATTGTCATGAAGACCCATACATTCGAGTTTGTTGCCCAGAATTTAGTGATTAACTAAGTCAAAAGCCTGTTGAAAGTTTGTATAAATGGCATTAACTTGTTTTGAGTGTTCCATAGCATTAGAAATGAAATACTGGTAAAGTGAAATAAGAAAATACAGAAGTGAATATGAAAACAGAAATTAGTCACAAACTTATTTTTCATTGTTTAAAAAAAAAATCTGTCGATTCAAAATGAAAATAATAGAAACATAGTAAACATTATTCCCGTTTCCATTTTATGCCAACCTAATCATTTCTATCTTGTGTAAATTTATAAAAGTGACTGTGCACATTGAATTTGATAAAGCATGCAAGTGATAACACCATTTAGCTGAACTTTAAGTGATCATTATTCTTTTATTTAATCTATTTTTATTTTCTTTTATCATTATCACTTTGTACTGATTAGATTCTTGTTAATAATCAGTTATCAAAATATGCAACTGACAACTTTTATTTACCAGTGCATATTCAGTAAATATATAGGATGAGGCACTTAAGGGGGGAGACTCCGTGGTCCGTGCGCTGTGTCCGTGCACTCACCCAATCAACGAGAACCGTGTATGTACACGCGATGCACGACAGAGACAATCGATTTCGTAAATTTCAACTTCTGTCTGAACAATTGCACAAATGAACTTTTCACGGGTATAGAACTCACAGGTAGACTTCCCTACAGGGTGGTCTGG